GAGGAATAGTTTGACAGAGAAATCAAGAATATTAGAGGTGAGCTATAGTTCAACCGACAGAGAGAACAATGGTGAATTGACAATCTTTCCGGTGGAGTTTCAACGATCGGAATATATCATTGGAAAGCCCTCGACGTGAGCTTCAATTTGGTGGTGGTTTCCGGCTGTTGTCTCAGGTGGTGGTCGCCGGAGTTCAACGAGAAGTCCAGCCCGCCGCTGGAATTTTAAGGGTCGATTTGAGGTGTCGAGCGTACTAAAGCTCTCATTCAAGACTTGAGCATGACTCGAGAGTAATGTGTTTTTATAACACTTGCATTGGACTTCAGGTGAGGATCTTTATTTCTTCACTATTATTTCTTGGAAAAACAAAATGCACACTGAGAATAAGATATCCATTATTGCTTCTTGATCACTTAAATGTGATATATCTTACTTTTGCCTATCGTATTATATTTTGATTCTTGAATTGTTGAAAATATTGATTTATTCAGAATCGTATATTCTTCCTCGAACTATTCAAATAATTTCTCATCTTGATTCGAGACTTATTCCAATAATTTATCATCCAGATTCTTTGGCTACTGAATCGAGTTTATGTATTGATCCTTGATTTATTCAACGAGTTCAATCTAATTCTCTATCAATATTGAATCGTTTCACATCTTGACTTGTCTAATAGTTGAACCACCTTTATTATGATTCATTGAATCATTTGATTTGTTTCTACAGTGGTTCAATGAACTAATCGTTCTTTTCCCGACTCTTGGACCATTTAGGATTATTGTGTTTATCCACTAAATCATTCATTTCGTACCTACTCTGAATTGATGGATCGCTCATATCTTGACTTCTCATTGATCCATTGAAACCACTTGTCTTTCGAGCTATACAACTACGGATTCAATTTTAACCGTAGACTATTGTTGATTGAGATCCATCTTCATCAATTGTTATACGATCTTGAATTGTGGTCACTCTCTTATTGAAACCATTGACCGTACCCCTCTTGACTTGGGATTTTGTGACCATAAGATATTATCACTTGTTATTGGAATCCCACAATCGTTGAACTATGATATTGGTTCTTTCCAAAGTGGAATTCATTATTGGGATTCAAAATGTAAATTCAGATAGTCGGAAGCATATCCGTATCTCTATATTATTGATTCCTTTGGGGATGCCCTAAGGATAATTGACCAGTTGGGCCCGGGGCTGTTCGAAAAAGACTGATGGGAGGTATTGGGCCGACGGTGGATGGTCTCTTCGACAGTACCCATATTGGATCTAGACCATTGGCATAGTTGGAGGTTAACTGTGCTGATGGATGGATAAGCATGCGCCCGGGCATGCCTATTGATCGATTAGCAGGGTAGCTCCTGATCGGTGTTATAAGGTAGTTACGGCCAAGGGAGTCACAAGGCAGGTACAGGTACATGAACAAATTGTTACCATGGGAATCTCTATGGTCTCATATTTGATATCCGAAATTATTATCGTGGGAATCTCCACGAAATTCATAATTGATATCCGGGAGTTACCCGTTGAATATTGTTCTTTACCTGTACATATTGATTGTATTTTTTATTCTGATCATACTGATGTGCCTTATACTTTGGCCGCTTATTCCTTATTGAACGATCATTCTCTAGACGGTCCATTTCCAACCCCAATTCCAAGTTGAACACTTGTATTGTGATTATTATTTGATTCGACTGTTTTTCCCTTGTACTCCTCACTAAGTCCACTTGGACTTACACCTCTTTTATTTTTCTTCTTATTCTCAGTAACAGGTGCATTAGTGGACGGTTATGTTGATGGCTCTTAGGAGTAGAAGTTATTCAGATATTTTAGAGAGTTTAATATAGTGTTGTGTTAAAGAATGATTGTAATTCGAGAACTATGAATACTAGATTAGTAGTGGCATTTGGTCGTCACGTGTATTTGATTTTATTGTTGAGAAATTAAGTGAGATACATTGGAATTATCGGAAGTCATTGTATTTATTTATTGTAAAGAAAAAAAAGTACAGTGTATTTTGATAATGGGCGTCACAAATTACAATTTATGTATATTATTTGTTTTGTAAAAAAAAATGTTGATTTTTTTTTATGTAGTTGTGTTTTTTTTTTTGGAGTCAGTTCCTTAATCGACTTTGCTTCATCATAGTTGATTAATATGCTTCATAGTCAATTCATAAACCTGATAGAGAAAAAAAAATTTGAAAAACGAAAATAAATAAAAATAAATAAAAATCAAAATCAAAAAATCAAAAAAATAAAAAAATCAAAAAATCTGAAAATCAAAAAATCAAAAAATCAAAAATTAAAAAATAAAAATGGCTGATGAGGTAGCACTTGCATAGCAGGTAATATATAGTGTGATGAGTTTGCAGGGGCATAATTGACAAAAATGATTTGCTGAAATTAGGAGTGGACTTTTCTCAGATGATGTAAAATAGTTTGGGCATCTCACTGTCTTATTAATAAAAGTAAGGTTGCTTATGCTAAACAGTAGGAATTTTTTCCTACTGCTTATTTGATTGTTATAATTTTCATTTATTTATTTAATTATTTATTTTTATTTTTTAATTTCATTTAACATAATTAAGGTTAATAAATCCACTAAGTATTCAGATTTTTTGACCTCAAATCCACGTATCTTATTAATAAAAGTAAGGTTGCTCCTGCTAAACCCTATGAAATTTTTCCTCCTCATTTGATAGTTATAAATTATAATTGTTATTTATTTAATTAATTAATTTTATTATTTTATTATTTTTATTATAATCAGGTTTAATAAATCCGTTAAGTATCTAGACGGCCCCAAATCTACGTATCTTTTCTCACTAAAATTGTCATTTTACTTAATATAAATTTGATGGAAAAATTATTTAATTGTGTAGATAAACATTTGGTTCTAATTATCTTATTAATAAAAGTAATCTTTTCCCACCAGCTCTCATTAAGAGAGTTGGTACCTAGCTTTTCCCATGCATTAACTTTATATTAACTTTACTTTGTATTAATTTTTCGTACGGGCCAAAAATCTAGTTAAAAGTAATATTGAGGTTTATATGAAAGAACCCTATTATTTAACCAACACCCATCACACACTCCACCACGTGAAAATAAAGAAAGCAACAAGCAAGGAGGCTCTAGGGAAGAAAAGAAAATATGTATTCTACCATCTTCGCTGCTCATTCACCTTCTTTCCTTGCCGATCGAGGACCGTCTTCGAAAGCTTACCCCACACTAATCATCCTTATTAGCCGTCTTTCTTCCATAAACGAGTGTGTAGAGAGGAAATGGTGAAAGTTCTTATGCACCGAAAAATAGGATAAGAATCGGTACTGAAATTTTGTTTGTAATTCAGTACAGCTGAAACAGAGCAAAATCAGTATTGAATTTCATAGGGGTGCATTTGGATGGAGGGATTTGGGGGAGGGATTTCAAATCCATAATAACAAATCCCTCGGACTTGTTTGGATTGAGGGATTTGGAGATGGATTTCAAATCCCCACCCCTCCTTTTTAGTTGATTTTGGAGCAATAGTGATGGATTTCAAATGACTCCAAAATTGGAGTCATTTCAAATCCATTCCCCAAATCAAATCCCTCCCCAAATCCCTCCATCCAAATGGACCCTAGAAGAATTCAATGTCAAAGAAGTCGTCTTATTCATCAGAAATGATGCAAATTAGGGCTATCAATCAATTTCTTCAATTGTGGAGTGTTTTTTTCTTTAAATGGTGGAGTGTGCAGTAAACGGAATAACTGGGAAGAAAGTATTTAGTGGAGTCCAAATAGCCACCTTACACTAAAAGAACCATCTTAGGGTCGAAAGGATTCCAAGTATATATAATCAATATAAGAAAATTATCGGAACATTCGCAAATATTCGAATTTGAAATCGGAACTTTCATGAACTTCATATCTTATTCTTTTCTCAAGTAACTTGGGACATGTAATATTTTCCTGCAACATAAGTTTCCTTTAATATCAGCACCCAATTGATAAAGTACGACAATTAATTGAGAAAAAAATCCCAATCTTACCAAGGTCGAATCTGTATTGGTTGCGGTGGCCGGCATTTCTGGAGTAATATAATCAGGCGTACTACAATCAATAAATCAATAATAGAGGAAAAAATCAATTAAATGATAAATCTAATTAAGTAATAACACGAAAATATTCATCATCGAACTAAAAAAGAAAAGGTAAATAAATCTCAGCAGAAGAAATCCTGACTGCGGATGAAATCTCTATCATTGGTTGAGTCGTCGGCATCAAAATCAACGGTTTTATGGAATAGAGAAAGTTTGAAAGGTAGAAACCTGGCTTCACACACCGGCGGGCATCGAACGAGGCGGCGGTCAGCGATCGGAGTCCGCAATTGTAGGCCTGTGCACCAATAAAGAACACAGATAAAATTCAATGACGAGGCACGAAAGCAAAAAAATCGATGCCGGAATAAATGGACAGATTGAAAGCGGCAGGAAACAAATTAATTAGAGAAGAGATAAGGGCACATGTTGGAGGAGTCATGAGGTGCAAGTGGCGGAGAGAAGGAGGTGGCGGTCGGAGAGAGTAGAAAGAAAATCATAGTCAGAAATTGTAGGCGAGGAGGATAAGGTTACCATATAATAATAGGCAGAGGGCGGTGGAGCGGCGGCGGCAGAGGGGTCAACAGTTGTTGGGCAGATCAGAGGCTCGATGCGTCAAACCGCGTCGTTCTGCGTATGGTGGAATAAAGAGAAAAGAGAAATCTAAGCAGGCGTGTCGCTGTCGAGCTGCTTAGAAAGTAAATGGAAAAGAAAAGAAGAGAAAGACGATCATTGGTGGGGCGAAACAAAACGGTGGCGTTTTGCATTAAAGAGATGGAAAAAGGAAAGAAGAAAGAAAAGGGGTTAAGGAAAAGGGTGTTATCCCATATTCACATTGTAACATAAGAGATGAAAAGTGGAATTGAGCTAAAATTTTAGGGACTAAAAATGTAACTCAAATTGAGAACAAAATTCAAAATTGGTTCACCTCAAACACATGAAACTAGAAATGAAATTGGGGTAAAATTTAGAGGCTAAAAATGTAATTTACCCTCTATGATATTGCAGAATAGCTCAATTCCTTTCTGAAAGAAAGCATTTGCGTCCTCTTTCCTCACTTCGACATTTTTTGGGCGGGAAAGAGAGCGGCGGAATGAGCACATCGGCGGCGGCGGCGGAGGCGGAGGCGGAGGCTCCAGACTTGGTTTGTGAACTTGACAGTGTACAAGGCATCGTTGACGCCCTTACCTCCGTCAGATGGAAGCGCTATCAAGTAATTAATTACTCCTCCTTTTTTTCTCTTTCTTCTTCCTTTTCGATTTCTTATTGCAACTGTAAATTAAAATTCGGATCTCTCTCTCTCTCAAAATATTCACCAATTAGGATGCACTCGTAGAATTATCTGAACATGGTATAGTGATAATCGTCGAGGAAACCAGCTGCCTTCAGGCCAAGGTTTATTTACAACGCGAGGTATATTTTATTTTTGTGCTGAATATTTTCTTTCTGTAATTAAGTGAGTGAAATTGGATGGATGATTATTGATTGATATTGTTTGTTGTTGATAGTTATTTGTTAAATATGAATACGGGGCGAGAGGGAGGCCTCGATTTGGGATGAGCTTAGGACTGTTTGTAGATTGTCTAAACACATTTTCAGTTCCGGGCAAGTCCAACATTCTCGAGCTCAGATATCCAGGTCCCGATATGCAACTTCTTCTCAGGTCTTTTCTTTTTCTCCTCCAGTTAGAATTTGGGTGTTGTAATTTGGGGTTGAATGTGTGTTTTTAGAATACTGAGCTTTTATCAACAAATAATCGGACTCTTTCCTTGTGATCAAAATTACTTTCAAGATAACTTAATCAAACTAAATTTTGGATCGTTGAGAACTTACCTAAAACCTCAAGTGTGCACCAAAATGAAATTGTTTGGATTTCGGCACCTGAAAAATGTGATGTCCGATTTGTAACATCAACATGATGAATATATTAATAAATGATCTCATGTTACTGTCTCTTAAGGAGAACTGTAGATTTTCAGATAAACTTTTGTTCTACATTATCGGTTTCCAGATTCCTTTTTGTTACTTATGTTCTGTATCTTGTGGTAGATCTGTTGATTCTCCCAACGCCTGCATTTACGCACAGATTAGGACAAGGATTCCAGAGACTATTTCATGGGACTACAACTTTGAACCTACTGGAGCCACTCCTCTTACTTTTACGGTTAAAGTATCTTTTTTATCTTCTCACCAATCGTGATTCATGGTTCTCTGACAGCTTTCACATGAATAAACATAAGAAGACGATTTTCTCTGTTTTATAACAACTACATATCGTAAACTCTAAAGAGAAACTGTATGCCTCTTATCGTTTCTGGAATCAGATCATTACATGATGGATTTAGAGCCTACATACATGTAAACTGTAATATATGTGTCTGTGTTTGTGTGTCAATGACAATACATATGCATATAATATGTCTAATACTACTTAATAGTAGGCTTGATCAACTGCCCCTAGCAAATAATTCAGAAGCCAATATTTCACAAAGTTGCAACTATGCTGGTCTAAAATTAGTAAAATGCATGACTTTTATTTGAAAAATAGTGCAGAAATTATAATTAACTCCATAGCCAATATTCTATCCTTTATATATCTCATTGGCCATTATCACCAAAAGTAACATTATATTAGGCTTTGGAATGTTTAGTGCATCCAACGTCTCGAATTTATAATGATAAGTTTGTTTGGTGTAGTATAAAGTTGTTAATAATTCCTAACGAAATTATAATGATAGTTGTGCTAGGGTGATAATAGTCATTTATTAGAGTATGTTATGAATGTGAATATTAGTAGTTATTAGTGTAAGCAAAGTGATTGTTAGTGGGATAGTCTGCAGCTCTGAAGGAAGCTATTGACGATCTAGAATGGCCTGGTTCTAGCATTCAGATTAAGTTACAGCCGACACCCCCTTCTGTCATCTTCCGAGCTGAAGGCCATGGTGATTTACAGGTTTTTTCCTTTTTTCCTTTTTCTGAAACTAATTGTTTCAACAGTTTACGGTTTATGATGGATGGACTGTCGGTTATTGTGCAGATTGAATTCAATTACTATGCCAATATGGATCTTTTGATTGCATTCAGTTGTGATCGCCCAATTTCTCACAGGTTCTGTCATTGCATTACATTACATTACATTGTCTTCTTTATTTTGTATGGGCTTTTGAACTGAACACACACGCACACTCGCACGCGCACGCAGGTACAAGTACAAATTCCTGAGAGCAACAACATCAAACATACCAGCTAGTGTGCTTAAAGACAATCGAGGGAGCAAATTTACAATGGGCAGAGGTGGTTTGCTCAAAGTTCAGCATCTCGTTTCAGTTTCAAAGCCTTCTTCTATTCCACACATTGAATCGGCTGGCTATCAGCAACCGAGTCGCATTGCTTACATTGAGTTCTTTGTGAAACCACATGTTCAAGAAGACGAAGAAGAAGAAGAAGAACAAGTTAATGTAGTAAATGATTCTCAATAATTGGAATCTCACCTCACATTTTTTTTTATTTTATGTAGCAACAGATAAAACTTAATTGAATGACATTTTTTTCCTCACAGCACATCAATGGGTGGTGGTTCCACTTTCTGACTCTCAACTAACCCAAATATGGACACAGTGGAGAAAGTAATATTTAACTGATTTGAATAACACTACACTTATACTTTCTTCAGGGTTTCTTTTTTGCTACACCCGTTCTATTTCACCGTGCGTAGATCCTACCATACATGTGTGTACATTCTTAAATATCGTTGAATGCGACCTATCTATAGTACATAGGTGCAAACTGTATTTTATCTAACATTTTATTACATACACCCACGTGTATATATCTTTATATATAAAAGAAAGGTTTGCCCCGAAACCCTAGAAGCCGTTTTTCTTATCTTTTTGCTTCCGTTTTGTTTTCCCTTCTCCACTCCTCCTTTCTCCCACGTTTTCTCGACAGTTTTTTTTTTCTTTTTTTTTCCCTTTCCTACTGTCGTTATTTTTCCTTCTCCATCTCTTCATTATCTCCACGTTTTGGAGCTAATCTCGGAGTAGTTTATTTTTATGCTTTCTTTCATGGGAGGTTTTCCTTTGATTTACATGATAATAGAAAAAAGAAAACTTCCCACGTTTTCAAATTCTCTTATGCGCAATTCAAAAACCTCCTTCCACGTTTTTGCAACTGTTCTTTGTGCATATATAAAGAAGAGCTCTTCTTAATGTTTCCATTATATCATACGTCAACTATTTTTGTAGATACTTTACGCAGCGTTTTGATTTATATCTTCAAATTCATACTGTCATTTTTTTTTTTTGACTGATTCACATTATCCGCCTCCCGGAAGCTCATAACGGACCTGAGGTTGTGTGTGTTTTAATATATAAGAATTTGTTTGATCTGTGGATTTTCACCGATTTAATTATATGATCTTATGTACTCAAATGGTTCCATCTAATTTTTCAGGGTTTGGAACAAGAATTCACAAAAGGCTTTGGGAGATAAGCAATGGCTGACAGAATTTTGCAAGAACAAAACTACCTTCCCACATTTAACTATCATCTTTGGGGTATGCAGAAATCAATTTTTCCTTTTCCGATTCCTACTCACAAACGACGGTGGTTTTTTGTATAATAAACACGAGTTTACTAAATTTATTCATAGTTCTTTTTTTTTTTTTTTCTTGATTCCTCTACAGAAACTATTAGTGGAGACTGCTTTGTGTTAGTAATTGATAATGGTAAGTCATTTACTAAATACCCTAAATTTGGAATATCCACAATGTGGTTTTTCGAGTTAGTTTCCTTTATGGTTCATTCATTTTATATGTTTATTCTCCCCGATTTGTTGTTCTTATATAATTACTAGATTTTTTCATTGACAGATTGGGTGTAGAATAAAAAATTCACAGTTTCTCATTTTGCTAAGATGGATTTCTTCTAAAGAATTTGTTTTTATCTGTAAATGGTTTCTTAACTATTTATAGTTTATTATTGCATGTCAGTGTGATGACCTTTAACTTTCAACTGATCATATGCACTGTAATGAAACATGGTTGCATGATTTTTCAACTATTACCTGATCATATAGCTCTTTTTCATTTGTCTATGATTTTAATAGTTTACAGTTTAAGAGCAGTGATTCGGCCCAATATTATGGAGTAGGATAGTTAGATTAGAATTGCAACTTATTTGAGTTCTTTTTCCATATGTATTGTTTAGTTGATAGGGTTCCTTTTATTTCTTAGTTAGTATTTATCTTTTCATTGTTTTCCTAGGTCATTAGGTCTCTATTTGATTAGTATAAATATAATTAAGTACGTAGTTTTAGGATTAATCATGCAGAATAATAAAACTTTTGTCTTAGTCTTTTCTTGCAATTTGCGAAGAAAACGCCTGTCGATACTTTTGAGATCGTAAACTTGATTTTTGCAAATACTTTCTTTGCTTGACTTTTCGGTAACTATTTTAAGATAAGGATTTAACATTTAAATGCGTTGTACTCAACTTTAATTTTTTCTCGATGAACAGTTTAAGATAAATTAATTTTCTAACCTAAGACATTGAATATGTCCGACATGGACTTAGTTTTAATTGAAGTATGTGGAACTGAATATATTAGTTATGTTGCATTAATTATCCAGAACTATTTAAAATTTGAATAATAATTTTGCAAAATCACTATTTAATTTTCCTATATCTTAGTTGTCCAAAACTCCCAGTTTACTTATCAAATTTTGTTCTTACTATTTTAATTTAAAATTACACATAAAAATATTACTTACCTTAAGTGTTTTATAAAATTTGAAAGAATAGCCGATTTTTATGATTTTCTTTTAAATTTCTTCTGATGCTTTTGATTGATTAATGACTGAGAAATATTTTGTTGTCTTCAAGTTTAAAATGTCCGATTATTCGAAAAAAAATATTTAGACCGGATACTTTAAACATATAAATAATTGTTGTGTCAAAATTTCTCTATTATTGAATGAACGATTTAAGAGAAATTGATTTTATATTAAGACAGTCTGATAATCTTAAATTTGGTATTTTTAGTTATTATGATTTTTTAGATGAACGATTCAATTGCACATGCTTCTGTTGCTTATGATTTTTCACTTACTATTTTAAGGCAAGAATTTAGAAATGTAATGAGTATTGTGTTTTACTTAAATTTTTTTTGGATGAATAGTCTAAGAGAAGTTAATTATTTAAGTTAAGACATTGAATATCTCCAGTGTAAACATATTCTTTAAGTGAAATATATGCAATTAAATATCTTAGTTGTTTTATATTATCCAATTCAATTTAAAATTTGATGAATGATTTTCAGATCACTATTCCATTACCCTTTTTACTATCATAGCCACAGACAAGAGTTTTACTTTTTATTTCATTCATTGTCTTATGTAATATTTATGCATTTAAAATATGTTTGTTTTGTCTTCCTAATTTATTCAAAATATTATCTTCATATATATCACATTTCTTTTTGTAGGATCGATGTCTAATATTAATATTATATGCCACAAGAAATAGTAAGTCGTTTTTTTTTCAGTACATAAACGTAGGTGTGTACCAACTTTTATTTCTAAAATAGATATACATTATGATTCCACTTAGTATAATCTTTACATTTTGATTTTCTATTGTATTGGATTTGAACATGAACTTTACTAATTTTGATTATATTATTTTTTATTTAATTTTTTTATCTGTAATCTTTATATATAAAAGAAAAGTTTTTCCCGAAATCCTAAAAAACAGTTTATTTTTTAACAAATCTCTTTTTTTTCTCCTCTTCTATCTACGTTATATATATATATATATATATAAAATTATTTTTTATACTTTTCTGCACGATGGGAAAATTTGCCCGTTTCCTCTATTATCCTCTTTTATCGCATGATGGGAATTTTTTTTCTATCACGTTATTTTTTTTAATAATTAATTATATTTTTTTTTTGCTTCTTTCTTTCCCATCCCAAATATTTTTATTGCACGTTTCTTTTCTTCTTTTTTTTTATATTATTATTATTTTTTTTTCTTTTTTTTTTCCTTCCCCACTAATCAAGATTAACTCTGGGATTTTTTTTTTTGTTTGTTTTTTTGTTTTCCACTCAACGCGATCTTCAACTTCTTTTCTTAACTGCCCCACTTTTCTCCATCTCAACTCCATAAATTTTCCTATATATACATGTTACCAAGAACATTGAAGAACACTATAGCTGTATAGAGATTATTATTATTATTTGTTTTGTCCTATTTTTCATCAAATCAATAATCTTCAACGTAAGAAATTATATGTTTTTGTCTGTGTTAACAATTCAATTATGTTATTTGTTCTTCGTTTTCTTAACACTCTTAACATTCTTTATTACGGTACAAATTTGTAGGAATATTAACGACCTCACAATTTATTTTTGGCTATTAGGTAATTTATCCGATCAAGCAATTATATTATCAACAATACCGACTTCCTTTGCTCCTGCATCAATTATCATGGCGTTCATTCTATTTGTTTCAAAAATAGTAAGTCAAATTTATTTTCCCAATTTACAAACGTATATGTGTTAAATTTTATTGCTAAAGTAGATATATAAATTATGATTGCAATCAGTGGAATTTTACATTTTTGTTGTTCTATTGTTTTGCTATTATACATGTCATAGACGTTTATTAATTTTATTTAATTACATTTTTTTCTGTATTCCCCCGGGCAACGCACGGGGCAAAATACTAGTGTCTATAATTATATGCAAATCAAAGGTGGAAAATTATCCAGTGAAGTTCACTGAGTGTAGCATAGAATAGACCTTTACTTCAGTTGTCAAACTTGAAAGATTTACAATTCATTTTGAGTTTTCAGCCTTTTGATTTGAATATTAAGGGTATTCTAATTTGACACAATTGCCAATTTTTTTTTTTCAAAATTTATCTTTTTTTATATAGAAAAATAGTACTTGAAATATAATCAAATATAAAAACTAAAAATAAATTAAATATGAAATTTATGATTCATTTCGAGTTTGCAGCTTTTCGATTTGAATATTAAGGGCATCCCCAATGGGCTGCAAATTATAGAACTTCAGCAAAAAAAAAAAAAAACACAAACAAGGGTTCTAGTGGGATGCAAATTTAGAGACTGTGACAAAATTCCTAAATATGTGATTTCATTTGAAGACTCTCTATTTGTTGGGTCCCACTGCAAAAGCTGTATAATTCCCAAGAATTCATCAACAAATTTCAAATTGAATAAAATGAAAAAGTGAATAAAAGATTGTATAGGCTTTTTATTTCTTTTTCATCAATAAATTTCTAATTGAATTTTAGTGTATGCTTTCCATTTCTTTCTTTTTCCTTCTCAGTTCTTAAGTATATTTAAAATTGTATTATATATAAATTAACTATCTAAACACTTATAGATGTATGACATTTAACTTTTATCACATAC